TAATCTCTAATTGGCTAAAATGACCTAAATAATCTTTGAAAAATTAAAGAAAGGCTAGTTTTCCAAAGTTCCTCATATCATGTACATATCCAGGTAATTTAGGTATCATTTAAATATCCCACAACAACAGAAAAAAGTATACAGGAATGTGATAAGAAGACAAAAAGTAGGATTATTAGACACAGTGTTACCTCAGAATTACAAAGTTCTGTCTGATATTTTTTAGCTGATTAGAGTTACTAAGACTCAGATGTCAGAAACCAAATGTTGTACATGTATATGCTCCATCAAAATCATAAGATTATTCGGAGTCCTTATCAAGATTTTCAAAAAATTGCATTTTAAAAAGCTTGACACAGTGTGAAAATCAAAATATTTGATGTCAAATTTCTCAAAACTAGGTACTGAGCAGACAGAACTTTCTAATTCTGAGGTAGCCACAGGCTGAAGTCAACATCCCAATTCTCAAAATCACCAGAAAATAACTCTCTAAACTACTCAATAAAACAAATCCCAACACTCGATAACCCAGCACACAACTGTATTTTTCAAGCTGACCCAGACATAATAAAAATTATATTTATGAGAACAATGTTATGCAATTTTGAAATTGTAGAAAACAGACAGCATGGTTAAATTAAAGATGAAAAGAAAAAAAGAAAAGAAAATAAAGAGAGTGGAAAAAAAAAGCACTTTGGTTCATTGTGTTCTAGGAGATAAAAGATATATTAATATGTCATGAATAAGGGGAAATTTGCAAGTAGCAACGACATTGTAAGATATCGACCCAGTGTGCCTTAACCATAATGACATATCAATTGAAGGTACACACACACACACACACATACAGACAACAGTAAGAGCAAAGTAAAGTGTTGAATTAAAGTTTGTGACAAGTCAGCAAGCCAACAAAAACTTTTCACCAGGAATGATCACGATAGATAAAAAGTGTAAAAGTAAAAGACTACCCCAGAAAATCCACTAAGCACCCAAAACAAGGTTGTAAATAAGAATGCAATTGCGGACAATGTGAGGTAACAGTAACATATCAGCACAAGGTGTAACAACCAAATGAGTTAACATCCAGCCACAATCTTTCTATTGTCTTGAAGGAATGTTGTAAACTCGTTACTTAGTGTGTGTATGTGTGTGAGTGTGTATTTATACACACATACATACATACACTCGGAATTACCAAGATGACCACAAGTACAAACGGCCCTTAACCATCCCCCCCCCCTCTCCCGCTCAAGCCCTTTTTATGTAATGGCACTGCCTGAAATGATAACCTGTCCATCGTGGTCACAACCCAAAAATCCAAAGATATCCACGGAAATCTCTTATCGCACAACATGCTGCCATATATTATATATCAGCCTCTGAAGCTGTGAACAAGCCACCATAATCCATTCATTTGGTCCTTCTATAATTGTTGAGTCTTCCAATGAGCTAACCTATCATGTTCCGTAGGTCCCTCCCACTGTTTACCGAAGTTGACCAGTCAATAACAAATTTCTAGCTGCTTGTGAGGAAGGCGTGAACAACGTCATAACCAAGTAGCCCCACTCACAACTCCCGAACTGCAGGAATCGTAAGTTAGAACTTAGATGAGCGGTAGCTCTGTTTACCTAGTCAGAAAGAATGAACGTCAACACAAACTTGCGACAAAAGGGTCGCTCGTTCCCTGAGTGGTGGTGCTCTACTTCTTTGTTTTACCATGGCACTCAGACTTTCTCGTCCAACAGATTTCGTTTTGTTTTACCCTTACACTGCACACTGTCTTCCTTGTCTGATACACTTCGTATAATTCAACATTAACAGCAGCAACGAAACTTCCCTCTTTACTACACCTTTCCTCCAAAAGAAAAACTCATTTCAACTGACCTTATGGCAATCCTAATGGCTAATTTTGAGACTGCAACCACCTATAGTTGGGACATCAGAAAGGAATGATTTGTTTTCTTCATTTCGACTAGTCCTGCCTAAGACGGCTACATTTCTCATCAACACCGGGTGGCCATCTTAGACAATTTCGACTGTAAGTAAAGTAAGTAAGTATAATTGGTCTGTGTACTTAAATGATGATTGAGCGCTGTATATTAATAAATGCCATATTATATCATTGCTATTATTATTGGTTTAATGTTCTTTGAAAGATAAACACTACTTAATTTCGATAGTATGTGTGTGAGTGTGTGCATGTACGTTTATAATACAAGACACATATATTTATATTATATATATATAAGAGGCATCACGGTGAAATCAGGTGCTCGTGAAAATGATGAAATTAAAGAAACCAGCATTTTTTTGTTCCTTGGGGAATTAAAATGTGTGGATTTTACTGAAAAACATTGATCAAAGGCACAACAAATTAAAATTTGCAGTTTCCAAGGACACTCAAGCTTTGAAAGGTATCAAAATTTGTCGGCTATTTTCTCGAATTTTACCACACACACCAGGTGATCCCCACTCCCTTTCAATGGAAAACATCTCGATTTCTGTTCAAGGTAGATGGGCATTTTTTCCATCAAAAGCAAGGTAAATGAACAGGCCATAAGATTATATTAATGACTCAGTATGCCCAAAATTTGACGAGCGCCTGATTCTATCACACACACACACAACACACATATAATACTAAATTAATAGACAAACATATCCTTGGTGCCCATCCCAAAATTCGCACCAGCAAAATTAGGTCAAACAACTTCTTTCCCCGCCACAAAGTACATTATTCACAAGCATAATTACAATTGGTGATACTATAATAATATGTAAATTGAACTTAACACAAAATTTCGAATAATTCTGGTATATTCTTTTTTTAAAGGGCATTTTTTATGTGCTATTCTGAAAATGAGTGTTCAAGCATCTACATGGCTACCGTTGAACAAACACAATGACTATAAGGAAATCTACTTGAAATTTGTGCTTGATGACAGATTGTAAATGAGAGAACACTTCCCTGAGGTTGGCTCAAAAATTCAAGAAAAAAATTTTCTTTCAGTTTTAGTAGAGGTTTTACGGCGCTCGCAACTGCATAAGGTCATATGAGCGCCAAGAGGTGGATGTCAACAAAGAAACCCTTACAGGGAATCAGACTTACTCTGCTCACCTCTACAGTTTCAACAGCACAAAGTCTGCTTCGACTATCAATGCACCCTGGAAATAGAGGGTCACAAGAGTGTGACAAACATACAAAAGAAGTAGAGGAAAAATGAAAATAGTAAGGATTAGGAAAGAAAAAGCAGCAGTTCCCCGATGTAGATCAGGCACAGATACGAGCGTGACATTGATGAATTAGCCCATTTACAATTCTACTGCGCGTGAACGAGAAATTTCCCTCCTTTGGGAATGGCCTATAGACACTTCAGTCAGTGGCACCGCCCCGGAGGGTAAACAACAACCACATACTAGCAGCCAGAAGTGTTGAATTCATAAACACAGCATAGAGGCATTAAGCCTCAAACAAGTGTCCCCCCGTTTCCCCACAAAAACGGCTGAGTAATTTGTTTTTGAATGACACATTTCACACGACACTCATAAGGTATATACATAATATAAACATACAAAGTCAAAAGTGATCAACATACAAAGCAAAAGGAATTACACAAACTCTTTGCTATGTTTTTTCATTTTTAGGTCGATTCGGATTAAATGACACTTTTGTATTTGATAGACAAAAAATTAAAAATCTTTTTTTAGTTTTAGTAGAGGGTTTTACAGCGCTCACAACTGCATAAGGTCATATGAGCACCAAGGGGTGGATGTCAACAAAGAAGTCCTTACAGGGAATCACACTTGCTCTGCTCACCTCTCTAGCTTCAGCAGCACAAAGTCTGCTTCGACTATCAAGGCACCCCGGAAATAGCAGCTCACAAGAGAGTGACAAACATACAAAAGAAGAAGAGGAAAATGAAAATAGTAAGGATTAGGAAAGAAAAAGCAGCAGTTCCCTGTTGTAGATCAGGCACAGTTATGAGCGTGACATGATGAATCAGCCCCTTTACAATTCTACTGTGCTTGAACGAGAAATGTCCCCCCTTTGGGAATGGCCTAAAGACACTACAGTCAGTGGCAATAAAAATTGACCTTTCTTTGCATCAATATAAAACAATAAGAGGACCATGATCAAAATCGACTGCAGCTAAACACAGTACACAGAATCTCCCATTTTCATGAACACAGACAAAATTATACACTTAATGGTCGCTTTTAAGGACAAGTGGCTAACCCAGATTTCAGGGTTGTCCAGAAATCTTGACCTACACCAAAAGTGGGCATTGCCCAACCTATAGGAGAAGTTTGGTTTCGTTGGTGTGTATAGTTCTTTGGTAATAGAGAAAACTCTCCTTGTCTCTTAAAGAAACTGTAGACTTTTGAAAGTTTCTTAACCCTATCCGTACATCGTGTTTTACTATCATATCTATACGACGCGGGGAACTCAGTGCCACCACTTTCAAAGAGGAAATTTACTTGTTAATCCGATACGTGCGCTTTGCATAGCAGTCTGTCAAAATGATTTTTTGAGAAATACTGAAAGTTTCAAAGAGATTTTCGCACTAGATGTATTCTAAAATGTGAAGAATACAACCCCGGGGGTACAAAATGACTCAGGGCGACGGATAGGGTTAACGGGCTAACCCCCCCAAAAAAGCCCCACACCTCAAGTGTAGAGTTCACTGCGTGTCGCAATTGAAAATTACCCTAAAGACTACGATATTCTCATATCTGGCCAGTTTTTAAAATCAATTTTGTTCTGTACTGTATCAGTTTTCACTTGTATACTGTTCCACATAATAGTACCAATCTGCTGGGTAGAAAATGCTGAAAACATAATGCTCTCATGGATAGGCTAGACCACTTAACCCAATGATAAAGAGTTGACAAGCTTTTGGGTTAACCCACTGTACAGGGGATAGATCATTTATATAAAGAGTCGAACCTCCATGACGGCCACCTGTATAATCCAGCTACCTGTACAAACGGCCACTTTCCATTTCCCCCCTTACGTTATTTCTATATAATTTCACTGTGTAAAACGGGTACCTGTCCAATGCAGCCACAGCCACCTTATTTTATCAACCCATTATCAAATTTACCTGTATCAGGCGGCCAGGTGTGGTCAGTTATTGCCCTACGCTTTGTCAAAAATTTTGAATTGGCCCCTCACGCAGTGGGAGGGGGGCATCATAATTCATTCATCTGTCATTATTGTCAGTCCCTCAAACGAATGTTTACCCGAGTTGACCAATGGGCAGGCCTAACAATAAATTGTCAACAGCTGGTGAGGGTAGTGTGATCCGTCATAACCTATACACCCGACCCACAACTAACTCACAAATTGTGTGTGAGGAAACTGGTCACAGTTTTTTTTTACCTAATCAGTAACAAAGTAACAATGGACGTTGACGTGAACTTTCGACAGAAGCATCGCTTGTTCTCTGCATAGTGGCGATCCGTGTGTTTGTTCTACCATTGCACTCAGTCTTCGTCTTACAGAATATTTCGTTTATTTAAACCCTTCTTACACCACCCACCCCCCTTTTTCCTTTTAAATTAAGGCAGTCTTAAAGTCTGAGATCAGCCCCGGTTTGGACCTCGGAAAAGAATGGTTTGCTTTCTTCATTTTGATCAGTCCAGCCTAAGATGGCCACCTGTGTTATGTGGCCACTTTTCTCCTTTACAATGGGTGGCCGTTTTACACAAGTTTGACTGACTGTATATATAACTTCAAAGCAGGAATACTCCAGATAGAAAGGTATGCCTTATTTGGGATGGGATGGCCCATTTTGCCCCCAGATTTCCTTCAAAAGCGTTTTCTGCATATCTGCAAAACTGAGCTAACCCAAATTTTTAAAACTCTATTTTTTCATTAATCGAGTAAATAATTATCAGTAATCTATAAGTATACGGCAGACAAGGTCATAACTGACTCTTATGCAAAATCACAAAAGAATTCATTAGAAAATAAATAGGCAGAGATCGATTTCATGGGTCCAAAAACTTTACCTTCCATTTTTTCAAAACAGTATTTTCCGGGATAGCCCCCTTGTGCTAAAAAGCGACTAAATAATAATGTAATAAACATTAAAAAAGCAAATTGAAGCCTCATACCCAGATATCATTGAAAGAATTCTTTGGCAAGAAGTACACCAATTATTATGGTGTTTAACTCATTATACATGAGTATGTTCATCAAAGCAAACATAAGACATGGTTCATATGATGCAACTGACACAGTGAATAATATAACAATAAGTTTTCCCAAGTTGATTTCTATGTGCAATCAACGAACAATAGAAACTTTCACAGCCCTAATACATTCAAAATCAAACTATACAAATCAATTTGTATACTATTAAAGGGTAATGTGTATGTTCGCAAACAAATAATTAAATGAAATAAGCAAAAAAGAGATCAAATCTAAAGAAATTTCAAACACAGGAGACCAACACTTTCCTCTCAATCAGTCAAAATCATAATGAATAGTATAATATATCATAAGCAGATTTGTAATTTTACCCTCAAAGTAAATTATATGTGCTATAAAAAGCTATAAAAATCTAAAAAAACAGGTAAAGACACTATACAACACATTTTATTCAGTCTGCCAGGCAAACAGCTTCTCTTCAGATGGCCACATTGCTGCAACCATCCCATAAAATTGGTCAACATATGCGAGTCATTGTGGAGAATTCATGCACTAGACAAAATAATGAAATCAAAGAAACTGACATTTTTCCGCCAGTTCAGAAATTCTTATCAATTTTGTTTTGTTTTGCGGTCAACACCTTTTATGTCTATTGAAAAATATATTGCTGTTTTGATTTTACTGAAAAACAAAGATCAAAGGCATAAAAAATGTAAATTTGCAGTTTTCAAGGACACTATGGCTTAGAAAAATCACCAAACTTCAAGAGGCCATTTTAGCACAAATTTTACCTGACACCAGGTGACCCTCATCTCCTTAAGTCACCAATATCTTGACTACCATTCAAGATAGAAGAGTATCTTTACATTAAAAACCAGTCAAATGAACTGGCTTTAAGATACTCCACATGCCTAAAAATTGACAAGTCCCTCATTTCACCACGACACAGTTTCTTCCAAACAAGCAGGTAGAAAGAAACTCCCATGTAAGGGTTTTTGCTTTATTACTTTACATAAATGTCATGGCAAATAAGATGAAAGCGCATTAGCTGGAATATTGCTAAATATTTATATACAGAGAACTTACTTTAGCACAAGAAAAACTGGTTATAAAATTAGGTAAATAAAATGGTGCTAGAAGTTGGTTTATGTCGACCACAAATTCAGCACACGTAATACCAATACGACTCTGGTTCACTTGGTTTAGTTTTTCTCTTTCTGTCTCTTCTTGCCTCGCACAATGTCACTGCAGTAGTGGGGACACAGAATCTGGGGAATTGGTTATCTCCCTCTCTCGGCCAGTCCTTCGCGCACCAGTCTTGTGTATGCTCTCGTACGCCTCGGGAGAAGTGTTTGTGATGAGCGGCCTCCTCTCATCTGCCGTGTCCGACGAAGCCCCATCTCTTCTGTAGCCCTCCCCCTCACCATCATCTTCCTCCACCAGATAACGAGCAGACTGCCACATCTGCTGACGCTTGCGCACAATCCTGGGAGGAATCGGGAAGGGTTCTCGGTTGCGCTCTCTATAAGTCTGGAACACTGCGCCCACTATAGTCAACAGAGGCCAGGCAGTAAAAAGGATAATATCTGGGGATGACAACACAGTTTTAGCTTTAGTAAGAGTTTAACACATTTTGCTAAATAAATGTGCAGACTAGAAATAAAAATTGTAAATGAAAGTACAGACAATGAAAGGTGTTACTATAGAGTTACATACAAAGAAAAGATGGAGGAAGGTTAAGAATGATAGGTGTTTGAAATGAAAGAAGGAGCAAACCACCCCAGAGCACCCGCGAACCACCTGGAATACAACACAGTATGTGACAAAAAACTGTACAATGGAATTTGCTACCATTAAGTTCAAGCTTTGTCTACATGAGTTCAGCATCCTTCAAGACATACACACATGTCACTTGAAGGCATTGCACTCTACCAAGTGGTCAGAACGAAAAAAAAAGGAAGAACAAACACAGGAATAATACGTCATAGTAAATATCAAATATGTATATATCTGAGTACTTAATATGTTCATCTGCTCAATCCAACATTAGGGGAACTGCAGCTCCTGCTAGTATACTAAGGATTTGTACAGAACTGATCACCTTCCACAATCCTCCGGTATGATGAAGGGGGAAAATACAGGGGAGAAACAAATAAACCTACCTGGTCGAAATAGAGCCATAGACTCTGAGGTTATTTCAGTTTCCATAGCAAGAAAAGGGTTTGAAAATAGGAGACCATCTAGTATAGAGGATGATATTCTGTAACACATTTCAACATCCCCTTGCTCCATTAGCACTGTAACTCCTTTCATGCCATGCCATATCCCAGAAAGTCAAAATTTCTTGAGGCACTAGTGTAGAGGCTTTAACTCGGAAAAAAGTTAACGATGGAAAATAAACTCATAGCTGAGTAGAGAGAGGAAATACCAATGTGAACAATTATTCTCTAAAGGACAAAATACTAAACGCAAACCAGACGGGAAACGAACCCATGACCTTTTATCAGGGGTCCTGCAATGTAACGTTTTGAAACTCATACAGCTACATGCATCTTAACCTCTTTCAAAAATAGCTTCACCTGATGAAACAACTACAGTATAACACGGATAGCTCTCACATGTCGGGTAACTAGACCTAAAGCCCTAAGGCCTAGGCAGAGCTAGCTGCTTCCATGGAGGGGGGATGGCGGTATTTTACCAACCTTGCCTTTTTCTGTATTTTTTATTATAATTATTTTGTCCCAAACGCACCTCAAAGGACATTGACTTTAGATCTCTACAGCAGCGTAATTAGTTCCACTATTCCATGTTTGTGTTTGAGCTTTACGCAATTTTCTTACAAAGATAAAGAAGAAAAAAAAACCCCAGGATGGCAAGCACAGTTCGACGGATGTGTGATTTCGAGTCTTCTGGGTTCGACCTATCTGTGTTATACTGTACATTAAAAGTCTAGCACACACACACACACACACACACACACACACACACACACACACACACACACTCCCATACACACACACACGTGTTTGAACCTTGAGTATGATAAGGAACTGCTGTCTTGGCATCCACGAGCCCCGAGATGGTTTGTCGGTGCACTGAGTTGAGAAAGACCAGAAGCAGACTTGACCGTAGCGGGATGGTTGCCACCATGAGCAACAGAAAAGCACCAACAATACCGCATGACAAAATGTTCAACTGGGAGAAGAAAGAACAGATAAATCGCAACATTACCAGTAGTAATCAGCTAATTTTGTATGACTATTGCACATTTAGAGTCGGGGTTCATTTATGTGTACCGACAACACTGTAAAATACAAAACATAGACCTGCATGTGAGCCTCAACCAGACTGTCTGAAAATGTTGCACAACCCCCCCCCCAAAAAAAAAGCCTTTCTGGGTGTCATAAGGAAAAACATCCGAGTAACGAGCGACCACCCCAACAAACACAATAAAGAAGAGACCTAACCCTAACCCTACCCCCAAAAAGAACCTGCAACGGGCCTCATGTAAAAAAGGCCAAAACAAGTCCTAAATGAAAAAAAAAATTTTAATTAAAAAACCACACTCCAAAACAAATAAGGAGCATATAGATCTAGATTTAGATTCTAGATCTATATATGGCTTACATCTACATTGCTATAGGGTTTGATACAATATAACACAATAGAATTGGAATATATAATATGAATCCCGTCAGGGACCCGACGTTGTGTCCTTGGGAAAGGCACTTTACACGAATTTTCCTCACTTCACCCAGGAGGGAATGGGTACCCGGCTATAGACAGCGAAAGATCTTGTCAGTATGTTAGTGTTTGAGCGCTTAATCAGCTGCTTGCACTGTATGCTTCCCGGGAAGCTGAGAATGTTTCGGAGTGTTCTATGGTCTGCTGGGGTAATAATATAGTGTAAAGTGCATAGAGCCTGCTGTTGAGCGGGGATTTGCGCTATACAAATGCTATCTATTATTATTATTAGATCTAGAAATCTAGTAATCTAAATAAATCTAGATCTAGACCTTGTAGAACAAGTGAATAGGAATAGGCCTTGAACTAGAAATCCGCATCCGATTCCGAACAGAAGGACTCAGCTGAGTCTAGATTCTAGATTCTAGATCTAGATTCTAGTCTAGATCTTTACTAAATAAAAAAACAATTCACGCACCTGATGAAATGCTTATTTTTACCAATATAAAGATTACAGCACAACCTATGATAGGGTTTGACACTATAGAATTGGAATATGAATCCTCCATTGAGGTCTATAATGATCTATATAAATCTAGATCTAGATTCTATTAGAACAAGAGAGTCGGACTTGAATGAATCCAAACGATCTGAACAATTGAATTAGTCAACAAACGAAATTTAAAATGGCCGCTCGAGCACGAAACTGAAAGTAGATCATTTAAGTTGTCGTCCTTTTTCGTATTCGCATTTCTACTTAGATTCCGACAATTATGTCGGAAACGCCGACGTCGGCAGTCGGCGGTGCGCGCGTCGGCGGTCGGCGCAAAAACGAAAGTGCCGACGAAGCCGACGGGAGAAAAATGGGTCACTGGCAGTCGGCCAAGCCTCGCACTACGCACATTGACTGATACAGGCGGGCCTAGCGATAGCATCGGCCGGTTCGCGGGTCGGGTCGCGATTGTCGGATTTCAGACGATTGTCGGCAAACATGCAGGTCTCAAAACAGAAAACAAAAAGAAGACATGACAGTCACATCAAGCGTCACTCATCTTGCTCTCACAGAAAAAATATAAATGGCAAAAATGGCAGGGGTAAATCAATTGCAACTTACAGAACTTGAAGAGAAGGGGTTGGGGAAAGACCAGGACAACAATGAGCAGAGAAATTAGTGGCAAACCATGATTGCAGTGTCTGTTTCAAATATGATGATGATACTAGAGACAAATACATCTGTTTTTCTATACTTTAACAAATGTAAGAACAAGACCATTTGATTTGTAAACCTAAGAACATGTATTACAATTTACTTTTCCAGGTGAACAGAGAACCTTCGAATGTACAAAGATGGAGTTTACGTTACCTTAACTTCACAAAATACAACATACACATTATATTTTAATGAGGGGTAAAATTAGCTAAGAGTAGTAATTGACAGGTAGAAAGATAAATAAAGATATAAGCACACTGACGCAATAACAGCCATTCAAAGCAAAGAAAAAGCAAACAGGACAAGACAGAAACAACAGGGGGAAAGAAAAGAAGAATGTAAAGACTGGGTGGCCCAGGTTACAAAAGATCTATAATTTGTTTACACTAGAATATTACAACAAAGAACTCACCACTTTGGAGTAGGCCATAAGGACGACAGTAAACAGAAGCAGGACACAGGTGAAGGACATGGAGTAGTTCAGCTCTGTGCTCCACCAGTCCAGGTTACCTGCCATACAAACGGACTTGTTGAAATGGTGGGAGGCAATATGATTGTGGCTTTGTGGGAGTGAAGAAGAGTAAAAAAAAAAAAAAACCAAAACAGTAGTTTTCGCTTAACAGCTTTCACAAGTGTTTATTTACATATCTAAATGACGACTGCTATTTTTTTTTCTTGTGAACCAAATGACAAAAGTAACTGATCCGCTTATCCTTCAGAAAATATAGAATTTTACACCCTCCCAAAGCTCCTCCAAAGATGCATCTTTCAACATCATAAAAAAAAAGTTTAATGCTATGATCAAGGTTTACAATATTCTTGCTTTTCATGATTCCTGATTGGAACAACACAATAAAAACTAGTTTTTTATCTCTTGTGTAAAAAATACCCAAACAGACTTTAGTAGATTGCTTGTGACACTGACAATTAACGGGTAATGAGTACTTAGATTAGAACGTGAAACCTATAACTTTTCTTTTATACATATAACATCAGCACTAAATTGTTCATGAAATAAAAGACACATTACAATACACAGACAATACCATAGGCTTGTATAATAATATCCCAGACTGAGCTCTCTGATGTATTTCCAGTTCACTATGGAGCTCACCGTTTGACTTTATTTCGCACCAAATACAGGGCAAGGTGGAATGGCTGTGTGCACACTCGTTTCTAGCGGAGCCGGACTGGTATTTTGCTCTTCACTTGCTCGCCCATGGTGCACACCAGCACAGCAAACTTTTCATAAAGAGTAAAGAGTTGCTGCCATGACAGTGTCCAGTTTAGGGATATTATAATACAAGTCTATAGACCAAAAAAACCCACTTCATGGCTGGTCACCACAAAGCGGCCCATTTTCTAGGCTGGGTTTCAGGTGCCTCCATCAAGGACACATCACCTACTCATTGACAGTGTTTCACATTATTTGTGACCCTAAACTCACTAATGACTAAGCTACTAGGCATAACATATATTCCCTAGAGTTTCCAAAGCGTCCCTTAAAACTAAGGGGAGGCAGAAAACCATGCACGTAAATAGTAAATAAATATCTGTAAAAACCACGGCAGGTTATTCCCCATACCAAAAGGTGTAAAGAACAGGGTAGCCGACACAAGGTAACCCGCGCAGAGCCCGACCAGGAACACAGACAGAATGGGCAGGGCCAGAAGGTACCACAGCCCTAGCCACAGACACGCTCCCACGATGCCCACACAGGCTGAGACGGCCAGCTTCACTGAAGAAAAAAGAGAAGAAAATTGAAACAAACATCTTTCAGCAAAACAAACATGATAAAAATTAATTGTTGTTTAAAAATATTTAACTTTAAAAAAAAAAGAATAAATCAATAAATATAGAGACTTTATCTAAGAACGAACACTGATATGAAGATAAGTTAAAATGTACAACCCCCCACCCCCCAGAAAACTAGTAACAAATAAGAAATACTTAAAAACTTATATTGTTTAACTCCTTATCACCGGCAAGGCGCTCCAAGCAGCTGTTGGTCAAAACTGCTGTGCCGGTGAGCAGCTGGCAGCGGCTCAAGCACATTGCTTTATGATGACTTACACGTCAAATCACTTTTCGGCAATTGCTAAAAACAGGTCTCTTATATGGGGATTTCATTCCTTAGATGAAGAACTATCATAATAGGTTCAATTACTTTGATTTGATGACCATTAAGTGACATATATGTCATTTTAGGATTTCTTACTGGCATAGTATATTTTTACCCCTCGGAGATAAAGAGTTAAAATAGAAGATAAAAAAACTTACTATTATGATTTTCGGGCAGTGCTGCAAAAACTCTTTACTCTTTATCTCCGATGGGGGTAAACCCACTATGCTGGGGCCCTTTTTTTGTGCTAAGACTAAAAATAACAAAAAACGTCATTAAATGGGTCATCAAATCGAAACTAGGACAGCTATTTTCATAGTTCTTCCTCTAATGAATGAACTTCAGGTAAAAGAGACCTGTTTCCGGCAATTACCAAAAAGTAATTCGATGTTGAAGTCGTCGTAAAGGAATGTACATGAGCTGCTGTCAGCCGCTCACTGACATGGGGGTTACGACGGCTTACCGAAGATAAAGAGTTAAAAATATAGTAAAGACTACTTTTATATGAGCAGGGAAAAAGAAAAATCCTTGGAGCCAAGAGCTTCTATCTATTGCTTTGCTCACGTCTGTTCCACCTAGCTCCATACCTCCTCTCATAGCTCTGGAACCGGGAACCATTAGTCTCAGGGTTAGTGCAGAGCCTCCCTGCATTGGCACAGGAACCTGCCTGGGTCAGACTTCCGATCCCACCCACCACCAACATCATTATCATTTGACTGAAGTAAAGTAAAATCCATTCTGTGTCCACATGAACTATAGTTCAACAAATTTCAGCAGGAAACGGTCCGATGATTTCTTGCCTCTAGCTGGGAAGCTCTTGATGCAGAGAGTCTATCATCCCAAGCCCTAGGTGGGGTACTGTTATTCTATTGCCATTAGTATCATCTTTTTCTTCTCTTCCATGATACTGCTATTTTAAACAATGTAAGACAACAAAGTGTGACAGTTATCATGTACCTAATCATAACTCAACAACAGGACCAGCAAGAGGAAACCATTGATAGTATGGCATGAAATTGTCAACTGAGTAAAATAAATGTATCATTGTATGTATTTGTCTATGCTTCTATGTATGGCTGCTATTGTATTAATTGTAAACCAGATCTTCTCAAAAAATTTTTTTTAAAGAGATATTTATTTATTTTATATATTTCATGTATATTAGTATTTGTTTACAAGACACTGTACAGGACATTCCCAACATTGTAGGGAAAACAACCAACCTGCTTCTGAAGCTGTGTGCGGCACCGACATGAGAATGTATGTCAGCAGGCAAAAGAATGAGAATGCGAAGACCAATTGAGCTGGGGAGTGAAACAAACAATATTTTCTTTTTTTAAAAACTTTCAATGCTACTTTTTACAACACCTATTTTTTAAAACTCTTGAGACTTACTTTCCTTTTAAAACAACATAGCTATTTCTCGACCACTACTTTATTGAAAAGCTCTGTCGATACGTTACTATAATTTGCTTTGAATTTGCGATTTCCCTGTAACCCAAATCTTTTAATTTCACAGTCAGATTGCTTCTAAATAAACGATATGTAAAAAGTATTCTATTTCTATACATCTTAAAGTTGCTTAGGAAGAAGTATTAACATTTATCATGGTAGATAGATATTATATACAACTTCTGCAGCCCACAACAATTTTTTTTCAAAATACACTGAAATTCTACAAACACCCTTAATAACAAACGCCAAATGAGCATGTAGGTGATAAGAGTTGATACACAAATAGTCAAATTGAGCTAGTCGAATGTAGCATAAAATCAGCAGATCTATCTAAGTGAGCTTGCCAAAAGTAAAAACCTACCTACAGATATGTCCTAAGCAACATTTCCAAAATGTTCAGAGCCCTAAAAAGTTGTCAAATTTTTTTTCAGTTTGGCTCACAGTAACACGGTTACCATTGCAAAGCAGTGCATTCAGGAAAATAACATTCCACTCACATATTTTAAAGTATCGATGGCCCAACAGGAGAAGGAAGGCTCCGAGAAAACCAGCAACGACAGCCACCACAATCTCCAAAGCTGTACCTGGAGGGACAAGGAGACAAACCTCTCTTTTAATGTACCTAACACAAAATCCCTCAAAAAAAGATGATAAATCTCTTGTTTTAGAGGTTCAAGCATGGATTTTTCACCTGATGGTTTGACTTCTTACTTTCTATCGCTTCTTGCACCTTCCATGTTCCAAATCTGTTTTGCGTAAGTACTTATTTCTAATCAAGGTTCACAATCTGGATTTATAAAGCTCAATATTTTTTCACATAATACGTCAAGTCAATCTTCCCCTTCCCCTCCCCCCCCCCCCCCAGACTGTCCCAGACTTTCATTATTATACTGTATTTTTTCCAAGCTTTTTCTGTTAAAAAAGTGCAATCCTCTATCATTTTTAGCTATAAATTTAGTAATTAGTTTTATTTCATAATGTCACTCACACCATTCAATGTGTATTACAGGTGAAGCAAAAAATATTTATCATATCACTGAACCATCATTCTTCATATCCCTTTTATATCCCACCCTGCCCGATCAATCCTTTTTCCTTCTTTTATAATGTCTCCCAAAAAATTAACAGAGAAAATAAGAACAAAAAAACTAAGGCAACAGTTTGGCTTCCATAAAGCTCATTCAGTTTTATATCCATCCCCATAGCAGGTTTGTTGTTACTGATCCAGACCAACCAAAGGTTTTAACAACTAGGCATTTACTCTCTCTCAGAAAGTATGTTTGTTCCAATTTCCCATCTCATTTGCACAAGGGACAAACAGCATAACTTGCCCCAAAGCTATTGCTCATGTGTTTCTACTTCATCCAACAGCCAATGCCCACTCACAGTCAAGTGAAGGGAGGAAATTATAAGTACAGTCCCTTTCTCAAGGTTACAATGTCCTGAAAAAACAGCAAAATTGTATAGATTTAGTTAACTTTGTAACACTGTAAGGTTATTTAAGAGGCGGGCCATCCAAATTTAACATTTATCTCCAATAGGACCAAGCCAAATAGAAAAATTCGGGTCAAGTGCCTTTCCCAAGGACAAATAATGGACCGAGCTGAGCCTTTAACTCCGGTTTTGCTATCTCACAATTATGAGTCCATTTGCCTGACTACTAGACTACCAATGCCACCTACAATGTTGTTTGGCTGAACCAGAAATCAAAACGATGTAGCTCAAACAACATCATATTATGTCATGCGTGTCGGATGACACTTAGTTCTTACTTTCTACAGAGCAGTTCCCAGACTTCAAATCGCAGGCGTAGGTCACAGACGTTATGTAAGCAGCGTTGGTCCCTAAATCTTTGCGGGTCACAACTACCCCATAGACAGCTCCCTGACCTGACCTTGATATGACCTTGACCTGTGACACAGCATTGGGCCCATCTGTGACTGAAAACACCTGAGGAAAAAGGCAGAGGTACTGAAACGATTGGTAAACACTTAGAGAATGGGGAGAAACAGCACCTGAAGAAAGAAAACAATTTTATCATCCTGATGATACACACATATACACACATACACACACATGCATACACACACATACAAGCCTGCGCACACACACACATAACGCATTGATCTTCAGAGCATTAACTCTTTATCAGCTGTGGGAGATAAACCCACTATGCAATACGCGCCCTGACAGGTATTTTTAATACTCTGCTTGGAAACACATATGGCTTGGTGGTATGAAAATTTTAGCTTCATAAAGATGGCAAAAGCGGGATCTGGCTTGAGCAAAGATTGACAAGCACTGAACTGAGTCGAGTTATTTTCCTTTAAAGACAAAAAGGTAAAATACGAGAATAATCGCCAATAGTTATCTGTAATGCGGCAAAACACCTCGGAGGCTCCAAGAGCAAGCTTTGCACATATAAGATCTCTTGGTGGTCCTAAAATAAATAAGAGTAGTGTTTGGCCGCCATCCAGGCAAAATGCCCTTAGATTCCTACCAAAACTTAAATACTTTTAAAGACTTACTTCAAATCCATTGCTGCTAACCTGCCCAGGTGTCAACATTTTTTGTACACTACTGAAGAAGTGATCCGCGTGCAGGTTTTTCTGGTCCATGAAAAGCACATACACCTTGTACTCCAGGGCTGTCTGCAGCTGGGAAGGAGAGAAGATTGTTTGAGAGATCTCCATCTTTGCTTTCATGTGAGTTTAATGCTGTACTAGCCACTGATAGGTTATTTTGAGAGGACGGCACTGGGTTTTACAAGGTTCCCCTTCACCTATCCTTTCGTCTGCCTGACCATTGGGGTGCCATTGTAGCTTTTACAACCACTTTCTCCCACCCCTAATGTTTCAGTTTTGTGCAGTATGATATTCCAGTCACTACAGGTGGTATAGACTCCACTGTATTTTTTAGTGTCATCCAAAGTTATAAAAATAATTCAGTATCCAAGGCTTTATTCTTTTTTAAATCTTGAGTTAGATTTATTAGTATTATGGTGTGATTATCAGTTTCAGATACAGACAAGATCTAGTAGTGAAAGTAGCGGTTGAAGTTGGCACAGCTCCACCAAAACAGACAAGCCTGTTTTTAGTTAGTTTTAGTAGGAGTTTTACCACACTTACAACACAATAAGGTCATATTTATAAGTGCCAAAGATTAGAGGAGTTACAAGAGAGTAACAAATACAAAAAGAAGGAAGAGAGATAAGGATGTTTAATAGGAAAGAAGGAGCAAACCACACCAGAGCACCTGCCAACCACCCACATGTTACGATTTGCCTTCTCCCGATCAAACAAATTATTACTCCTGAAAGATTAACAATATCAAATGATCATTATCAGATAATGAATCTATCCACCTTTAATTAACACACTTTGACCAAGAAACTCTGAATCTCTTAAGAAATACTTGCAAAAGCATTTCAGTTGAATATGAACAGTACCTCAAAAGGAACCATAACTGGCAATTGCAGCAGTCTCTTTGAAAGTACACTTACATTTAGAACACAACTGTATAATCAAATTCATCCAAAAAAATATTACCACTGGGCTTTCACAGTCCAAAGGCAGCTCTCCATCAGCAGTAGCGAAATTCGACCACTGAAACCAGGCTTTAGTCCAGTGGTCAGAGTAGTCTAGCTGAATACTTGGATCTAGTTCCATATTGAAAACTTGATTGCATCCCCCTGGTAATGGATCTGAAAACAACAAAACAAGAGATGTGTTTCAAATAACAAGCGGACCATAAAGAGCAAACAAAGAGGGGGGATTTTTGAATAAGTAAGGCTCATCTACAATACATTGGGGAGAAAAACTTGAAAAATTGTTAAATAAATTCTTGTTTTATGAAGATACGTTGTGTACATAAACACCTCTGCAAGGATTTGAAACTTGACCACAGTCAAACATATTTTTCTGTCAAACAGATTATTTGTGCAAAACTAAGATTTATATACAGCACTGGAAAAGCTCTAAAAATGAACTGAAAGCTTGAAGAATGAAGTTTAACTCATTATCTCCAATGGAGATAATCCCACTTTGAAGGGGCCTTCATTTGGTACACAATCTAAAAGTGACATTTACAATAAATTGTTCATTAAATCAAAACAAGTGAACCTATTTTGATAGTTCTTCATCTAATGAATGAACTCCTGGTAAAAGAGACCTGTTTTCGGCAATACCCATAAAGTAATTCAACGTCGAAGACATCGAGCCATCTTAAAGGAATGTGTTCAAGTTGCAGCCAGCAGCTAATTAGAGGAAAGCGGTTCCGACCGCAAGCCGCTGGGTACGGCTAGTCAGAGATAAGGAGCTAAAAGCCCAAAGCTTAGTCACATGACAATCATATCATCTCACCATCAACTGTATATAGTTCAACATGAGCCAGAGCTGTAACATTCTCGGTGCTGTTTGCAGAGACATACCAGACGATGCTGTGATTACCATTCGATACCATGGTAACCAGACCGGCACTGGAGCCAGTCTTGGTAGTGGAATGAGAGAACGTCGGTGAGGACGACAAAGATATCTCCTCTATTTGAGAGTGTAGCTGAGGAACAGAAAAGATGTAGAAGTACACAGACTTCATAAATTTGAAAACTATGATATTTATAAAAATGACAATAACAATAATAATAAGAATTATTATTATTATTATCATTATTATTATTATTACAATCATTATTATTATTACTATATTATCATGGTAATAATGATAGTAATAGAACAAAATTTAATAATTAAAATAAATACTCTAAGGTATCAAATAAAAGGGGGGGGGGTGGACAAGTAGTCAAAAGTTAATAAAGGGTGGGGGGTGGTTGGAATAAAAGGGAGGGGAGGGGGTGAACAAGAGGTCCAAAAGTCAAAAATTAATAAAAGTGTTTGTGTGTGGGGGGCGGGGGGAAGGTTGGCACATTCAACCTCCCACCCCCGTGCGAGTAGGAACCAATCTGTTTTTATTTCTCCTTCAGTGAATAAAAGAGTAAAAGAACAAGAGATCATGAAATTTTAGTGATTTTAGTAAGTTACTGTGCCAACTTTTCCCATTTAGGAACGAAAAGTCAGGGCTCGAGCATTGTGTTGCGCTGTAGAGCCAGAATTCCAAGAAATCGAAAGGGGACGTAACACACAAAAAAATAGTAATAGTAGGCTACGATTGCTCTAATGACGTAGGCAGTTCATTCACAAAAATCGGAAGGATACCTCAAATTCACAAGGTTCCTGAAAACAATGTTTTTCCCTAATTTTGTGTTTTGACCCATGAGTCTTATCTCTAGATCTATTATTACTCACAAAGTTTGGCTTGATCTTGCACCATTTCATTTAGATGAAATTAGGACATGGTTTAGATCTTTAAAAGAGATAAGATTTTGAATCTATATCTTGGAAACCAGCACTTTCTGCCATCCCTTTCGAACTGTGTAAGTTGAGCCAGCTCGCGGAAACCCCGCCGGCAGTGCTGAGCGGGCCCCGCCAAGAGAAGGCCTAGATCTACTAGTACTTAAGATCTAGTAAGCGGTCGGACATCGTGATAAAGTAGGTTATCGATCAATTCAGGCCGCTTCAGGGCTATGCGACAAAAACCTTGATCAAGAATCTAGACCCAGATATCGAGATTCTAGATATAATGTTTCATATGATCGTCGGTGGTGCTAAGCTGGAAAATAATAAACAGGGGGTATGGAATAAGGAGCGGCAGGGAGCGCAGAAAAACTGAAAATTAATAAGCGGGTGGAGGGGGGTGGGGTGCTTATTAGATACCTTAGAGTAATAGTAATAACAATAATAATAATAATAATAATAAAACATGATTGTATAATAATTATGTAGTAATTGTATCATAATAATTGTATTTAAGAGTTGAAAAACACAACGAGAATGCTGTAGAGCATGGATATGAGTTATTCAAATGCAATTACTGTTACATTTTTACAATGAACAACAAGCCAATAAAAATTATTTGATAACATTAATGACAAACTATTTTTTTCTTAAAGTTTTAGTCAATCTATTTAGCTTATCAGTGACAGAGCACAAGTTTGTCATATCTTCGCATTTGTTATGGCTTTTAAGTATCATGAGCTGTTGCACCGTTCCGATAAATTTCACCTTTCAATGAGTTTGCCATATGTGTGCCTTCATCAGTGGCCACAAAATGCTGAATTGAGCAATTCTAAAATACTGACATATTTTGAGACAGAACAATACCTAAAATTTAAACTTCTATAACACACAAACTACTCACTTGTATAACCATAAAGCGAGTTGAGTTGTGAGTTTTTTCCACTTTCAGAGTACAGTTTTCATTGGCCGGGATGGTGACAAAAGTTTCATGACCAGGGACCAGGGTCATCTCAAGACCACCTGTCAATAACAAGGAATAAAATTTTGTTCTCGTCTGCAGCACCATAGCATACTCATTTTGGTTAGGGGAATATCAGAGTTTCAAAATAGTACAAATTAAATATTACAGGATGTATTTTCTTATTCTATTACTAAAGAGAAGCAACAGGAGGAGGAGGAGGAGGAGGAGGAGGAAAAGAAGAGGAAGGAGGAGAAGGAAAAGAAGGAGGAGGAGAACTACAAAAACAACAACAACAACAACAAAACAACATCAATAACAACAGCAGCCACAACAACAACAACAACAACAAAAACAATCTGACTTACTTGTATAGGAGGTCCGGACAAGGAGAAAGGCAAACAGCACCTCCAACATTCTCAGACTCCTCACACCGTTTTCCGCTCTCATTTCCATCTCAATCTCACAAGGCTATCCAATAGACATATAATGTGTTTTTACCCGACGTACATTTGCCTAACAGCGATGAATGGACCAATGAACCACTTTCAGACACTGGACTGCACCCCTGACCACTCACTTCTAAGGCTTCACATTGTGGAACCTTTGAGACTTTACATTCTTGAAGAGGGCAGACTGTCTTTTGTACTCTAAAATTCGATTCAAACCCTGTGAATAAAAAAAATCAATACAGTAATATAATATAGTACCATACTTTTTGGAACAAGCATTATTGACTTGAAGTGCAATCCATGAGGATAAAAATGCAAATATTTCACATCGTTTAACTCCAACAATTGTTCAAAAAGATAAAAAAGCACAGCACCCATTGTAACTCATGGAACTTTAAAAGGCAAAAGTTGATTTTTAAAAAATAAAGATATGAAAATCAAGTTTAAAGTAATAACAGACTTATAGTGGAATTAGAATTCATATGTACACATGCATTACACAACTCATTCAAGAATCATGTATTCAATAAATCAAATATCCATTGAAGAAAAATTAGGTAAATTTAAAATCTACAACGTTCACAGCACAAGCTTGTCTTGCTCTACTACAAAGCCAGTCTAACTAATCCATAGGCCTATAAATAAACACCTGATATCTTTCAACAGAACAACAGTAAGAAAGTAGGCCAGTGACCTCCACTTATTCACATGACTGTGCTGATGATGGCGTGTATGAAGTATTAAACAAATACTGCAAAGATGTAGATTAAATAAATATAAATACAGCAGAGTGGAACTGTACAATGTTAAAATGTCATAACTGTAGAAGTTAAACGCCCCCACCAAAACTATTTATTATTCATCATTTAGGAAATGTTAGGGCCAACCAAGGTTGCAGCAGATGATACAAATTGAAAGAAAATCACAAGCTGACTTGTTTTTATTGCAATGACACTGTTTTTCAACCTTACACCTGACTCTGACTATTATATTAAAAATGGGTTGATTACTTTTTTATTTAAAGTCTCAGTCACATTATATACACCTACATGAGAAAAGAATAAATTGGAGTCTGAGAAGGAAGGATATTTTGAGGAATAAGTAGGTGGAAAATCACAATGGCCCATAATATGGGGCCCCACATAACTCAGGGAATGCTTTTTCATAGTTCATAGTTTTGAAAAAGAAATCTAAATTTCAAAATCAGTTCAAATTGTAAGGCAGTGTGATGAAATCAGGTGCTCGTCAAAATACAGAAATCGGAGAAACAGGCATTTTTCTGCTAGTTTGGAAATCTTTATCGAATTTGTGTTTTTTGGCTCAACCTCTTTTTATGTCTATCAATTCCTTGCGAATTTTACTGAAAAACATTGATTAAAGTCACAAATTTTTGTTTGTTTTCAAGGACCCTTTAGAAGTTGGAGTTACCAAACTTTGACAGCAATTTTCTCGCTAATTTCACCACTAAAACCAGGCGACCGCACTTCTTTCAATCTCAAATATTTCGGTTTGTAAGATAGATGGATATTAATTTCATTGGAAGCAAGTCAAACAAATTGGCTCTCAGATAATACCAGTAAATCAACATGCCAAAAAATTGACGAGCGCCTGATCCCACAGTGTCATGACACAATTGATCTTTTTAAAAATTGCCAATAGCCCTCTTTGTTCTGTGAATTAGATTTCAAGGCCTATCCATCCCTATGTCTACTATAATTTTAGTTAACTGTTGCAGGATGAACCACGAGGAAGTTAACTCCCTCAGAACAAAACGGTAGACTTATACGGGGTGACCATTATGGATGGGATCGTCGGATCGGGCCTATTGGCCCACTCAGTCGCCTCAAAAACAAAAGTGTTTGTTTTCAGTTTCAGGTGACCGAGTTGGGCGATCGGCCCGATCCATCCGTCATGGACACTCCGTATTAGTAGAAGAGACCATAATTCGGCAAAATTTCTACACTGGCTAACAGAGCTAGTAATAGTAATCATCAACTCATCAAGAGAAGTAGAAAGCGAATCATCTGAGAGATTAAATCAGTATGCAAGGCATCGTAAAAAAAAATTGAATCTAACACTACAACTAGACTTAGATCTGGAGTCTAGATCTAGAAATATGAAGAACTAGCAGCACATTGAACGTGATAATTAAAAAACAAAACATTAAATATATATGCTTACAAAGTCAACTTCTTAGACACACCCAATCTCTCAAAACTAGGCCTAGAAAACAGATTTGGATCAAGATGTGGTGTACAGTTTTTATTTTGACAGAACAACAAGGCTAGATCTACAGTTGTAGTGTATTGTACGGCTGAGTCTATACACACGCAATTGCGGGCACAGAAATTAAAATTTTGCTACCCACGCAATTGTGTGTACAGTCAAACCTGTGTAAAACGGCCACCCACTGTCAAGAGGAAAAAAGTGGCCGTATAACAAAGGTGGTCGTCTTAGGCAGGACTGGTCAAAATGAAGAAAGTAAATCATTCTTTTCTGAGGTCAAAACCGGAGCTGATCTCAGAGTTTTAAAGACTGTCATATAGGGGTAATTCTTGAATAGTGTTTTTGTATTAAAGGGGGGTGGATGGTGTAAGAAGGGTTTTTTGCGTTGCATTGATGGTTTGGTTTTGGTAGGATCTGGGCCTAAGCTTTCTTTTGTTGCTGATTTTGAGCAAGGGTGGAATATACGAAATATTATGCAAGTAATACAGATCACGCTTCCCTCACCAGCTGTTGAAAATGTATTGTTAGGCCTACCCATTGGTCTGTTTGGGTAAATATTCACAGGAGGGATGAACAATATAATAACGATAGGTGAATGGAATATGACGGCCTGTACACAGACTGAGAGGCAGACTCAAAATTTATGACAAAGCATCGGGCAATGCAAGACCACGCCTGGCTGTCTGAGTCAGGTAAATATGACAGTGGGTTGATAAAATAAGGTGCCCCCCTCCCCAACCCCTTTCGTTCTTTTTTTAAAATGTGTGTTAATTTGTGTTATCTTTTTTTAAACAATTCTTGGAAATTCTTGGTCCATTAATTTAGCCAGTACCAGTACCATAATAAGTACCTCCTCTATTCCTCCTCAAACAAAGTTGTACACACACACACAAACACACACACGCATGCACACACACACAAACACATACACACACACCCAAAGCAGTCAACGATGAAACCCACCTAGCATCCCCTAGTGACATAGCCCATCATGCACTAGCGGGAAAGCGGGCCCGTCGTATTGCGGACAAAAGCCCAAAAAGCAAGTGCAAAATATATTTGTAGATCTAGCCTAGATCTAATAAAGAACCTTTGGCATTACCGCACGTAATTGCGTGCATAGCAAAGTATAATATAATCGAAGTGGCTATTTCTCCGAACATTCGGGAAAATAAAGTTGAACTCTATTTCTCCGAATGGTTTCCGATCTCAAGATGTTTTGGTTATTTGCGAGATTTAGGCGTTATCCTTTCATTCTGCCATTCTGTGAGGACTGGGAAGAAGCATTTTTTACATCGAATTCAATTTGTAGAGCTAGAGATTTTTACTTGTCTGTTTTTTTCAGATATGGAGTGTCTACGTACACGGTAACCGGGTACCTTGTCTCAGTATCTATGTACATGGTAACCGGGCACCTAGTCTCACCTAGTCTCAGTATCTATGTACACGGTAACCGGGCACCTAGTCTCAGTATCTACGTACACGGTAACCGGAATGAAAATAAATCAATATTTGTACTGTGCTGTCACTTGCTGAAAAAAAAAGAAAGTCGTACATATGTACAAGCGTCTTGTCGGGTTCGCCAACGTGACCAGCCAGTGAACCTGTGCGGGCGCATAACATTGTGAGTACCGGTTGGGGTCACCAAAGTTCATTTAAAGTATAGAGGGCTCCGGAATGGGGGGATTATTGATTTTTTAAAAAGGTACAGCCGGGGGAGGGGTGGGGATGAAGGCAACACCGGATGACAAAACTGAACTTGGGAGTTCTGGACTGCCCGGTTACCGTGTACGTGATAGTACTGATAGAGAGACTACGTGCCCGGTTGCTGGTTACCGTGTACGTAGATATTGAGGCTAGGTGCCCGGTTACCGTGTACGTAGACACTCCGTTTCAGATATAGGCTATTTCAATTGTTGTTGGGGCAACATTCCCGGACTATACTTCATTTGAAAATACCTTCAAAAGGTACTGCGAGAAAACTCAAGACTTTTCGACCTTGGCAGTAAACTGCATTTAGTCACCCAACAAAAACTAAAATTCTTCAGGTAAAAAAAAATCCCTCCACTCCCCCCGTTCACACCTTACACACACACAGAGAAACACACACACACACACAAGGGCCACTCTATTCACTTGTTATCAACAAATCTTGAGAATGGTAACTGTTTGGAGAAATAGAGTTCTGAAAGTTTATTTTCCCAAACGTTCGGAGAAATAGAGCCGGCCAAGTATAATTGCGTGCGTATGTATAGCAAAAAAAAATGTAGGTGAATACAATTGTAAGCTTAGGCCTAGATCTAGAGAGATATATTATATATCTAGATCTAGATCTAGCATATTCGAAGTGACTATTCGGACTCGAGTCCGAATATGAAAAAATGTTATTCGCACTCTGATTCTTGTCCAGCATGACATCATTTCTGACTTCCTGTGACTCGTGACTCCGGCTTCCTGTCCTGCCTCACTCGTGACTCGCCTCAGGCTGGGTAGAGACCGGGATCGCTTCGGGCAAAATGGCGTTTTGAACAGGAGCCGAGTTTTTATCTTATGATGAATTTGAGGCCGGCCTGAAAAGTTATAGCGCTTTTAATAAAAAAGTTTATTTGTCAAGAGGTCATCAGAAGCAATTAAAGATGGCTCGTTAGCGTGTGTCGGGGTCGGATGGGCGGCCTGCACACGTGTGGCTGTGTGCATGTCGGGGAGGGGGGTACTATCGGTCCGGGCGTTGAACGTCGCATACGCGTCAGTCTTTTTTCCCCCGGCAACTGATCATTATTACAATAAGTTATAAGCTAGTCTTGACGTAGATCTACCCAATAAATTGTGCGCTGGTCTATGGAATCAAAAGTTGCCGTATGCTCAGCTCTACACAGCAACTCCACTTTTTCTTGGTAAACAATCGAGATGACACAGGCTTGTGTATTTGAACGAATCGGTCTTTTTTTTTACAGCTCATATAATATGCAGGTGCCAGGTGGTCTGCTAATCTTCAATTTTACCTTTTTCTACAACAAAGAAAGTGGAAAACATGGGGGGTGGAGGGGCGTATCAATGAGGCGGTGGGCATCGGATCGGCAGAAAAGGTGTGGGGGAAACTAAAAAATGGCGGAAAATGGGAAGCCCTGAACGTTAGATATAGAACGAAGACACTTCCTTTTCTCCGGACCCGAGTCCGAATAACATTTTTTCATATTCGGACTGGAGTCCGAATAAGAATTTTTTTTATTCGGATTCAAGTCCGAATATATGAAAAAATGTTATTCGGACTCGAGTCCGAATAACGACGGCCTGATATATATATATAGCTCACACACACACACTACCGGGTCTGGGCCCTGACACTTTCCGAAATCACAAAAGAGTTCCCCTACCGGGTCTGTATACTTCGTGACTTTGTTCCCGGTCACCGGGTCTGTATACACTTCAAGTTCAAGTAAAAAATGTGTTAGTGCACGCAATTGCATGCGTAGATCTATAGACTATAGACTTTAGATCAAGATCTAGACACATTAGATCAAGATCTAGACACATTCCCGTATTGTACAGCCACTGCACTTTGACTGTGTCAGCAGATCAAGTTTATCAACAGTACAGTGACAATTCTTTCAACATTGATAAAATGAAAATGTCAACAGAAAAGAAAATGTTTCATTTACAGACAGACAGAAGACCTGAGAAGATCTTAGTTTGATTTTGAAGCAATTCTGATAATCTTGCAATCTTGCCGGGCTTTAGGCCTAGATTCTAGTCAAGATCTAGATTCTAGATATCTAGAATCTAGATAAATCTAGATTACCCAAGATTCTAGATTTGATTTAAAGTCAAGTTGAGCTGAACGCAAAAGGAGGAGGAGGAAGGATGGCTTCCTAGTCCTAGAAGGAAAGTGCATCTAGAATCTAGACTACACAAAACACAAGACTCTAGATTCGAGATCTGAGATCTACCTTATAATAATTCTTTGGTGAAATATCTGCCCTCTGCAGATTACTGTGGATCAACACATCATCATTTTTTAGGTTACAGTTTGGCACTGGTGACTTCAGACTTGAGACAGATCATGTGTCCAACAGGCTGCCGAGGAAGAATTAAAGCGAAAGTACAACATACCAAACGCCAAACAAAAGAGCACTCGTTTCCTGTTTTTTCCACGTGATTATTAAGATTCGTAGAGTTGCACTGCACTTCGATTTTTTCCCTCAAAAAACCCCCCAACATCAAATGATAACAAAAACGTTCTGTAAAAAGTCTGTCAAAGACAATATAAGGTTGCATTTTATGTAGAATCGTCCTACTATTTATTTTTAAAAGTAATGAAAGGCAACTAATGGGCGCCACAGCGGGCACTAAAGATTTCCTCATTCCCCCTCCTCACTCAAACACACACACACACACACACACACACACACACACACACACA